TTTTTTTTTTTTTTTTCCTGCTGTGGAGTACTGCCTCTCAAACTTTGATGTGCCTCCTGTGAATCTCCAGGGATATTGTTCAAGTGCAGGTCTGGAGGTGGGCCTGGGACTCTGCATTTCTTTCTCTTTTTTTTTAATGTTTATTTATTTTTGAGAGAGAGAGAGAGAGACAGAGCATGAGCCGGGGAGGGGCAGAGACAGAGGGAGACACAGAATCTGAAGCAGGCTCCAGGCTCTGAGCCGTCAGCACAGAATCTGACGCGGGGCTCAAACTCACAAACCACGAGATCATGACCTGAGCCGAAGTCGGACGCTTAACTGCTTAAGCCGACCGAGCCACCCAGGCGCCCTGAGACTGCATTTCTAACACATTCCTAGATGGTATAGATGCTGCTGGTCCATAGATCACACTTAGAGCAGCAGGGGTTAGAGGACCTGACTAATTCTTGTCCCACTCCGTGCCTGACAGTCACCTGCATTCCTGGGGATTGCCCCTTCACTGCCAGGGAGAGTTTTGAGAACTGGAAAAGATGAGAAGGAACATGCGTGTGGTTGGAGGGCCTGTGCTCTATGCTGACCTGGCTGTCAGTGAATGCTGTAGTGTCAGGGGCACATTTGTAGATTTTTCTGGTACTAAATGATTTGCAAGGCCCGAACTTATTCTCAATTATCTGATCAGATGAAGTGGGTGAGAAAGCTCCTCTTAAGGATGAAGAACCCTCACTTTTGGGAATAGTCCATTATCAGCCAGTGGTGGAGCTGAAGTGTTCAAGAGGGGTTTTTTTACTTCCACTGAGGACAGTCCCTGAGCTAATGAACTTACTTTCCAGAAAAGGAAAATGGGTCAACCTATTAAGAAGAATGAGACACGGGTGTGCTTGAGGGTTTTTAAGTAAGAGAAGATGGCATTCTCCTTGGGTTCGAGTTCACTCTGGTCTACAGTGCCTGGACCACCTGCCTGGATGACTTTAAGGAACATTCCAGGTTCTTAACAAGCAGAATCAGAGCAAGAAATTCCTTGGATAACTTTGTGCTGCATCTTTGAAGCTGCTCCCACCCCCACCCTGTCGTGTTTGTTTTTTTAAAGGAAATTGCTAAAGCCATGGTAATGACAGTGGTAATTTGCCATTCTCTTGGCAAAAATGACAGAATTTCCCCCACATCCATTCCCCATTAGTATTGGGTGGGAGGAGTGGGGGTGAGAAGCAGGATCATTATAGGATATCATTTTAAAGGACAGGCATTTTCTCATAACAAACACAATAACCATGTGTGTTTGCAACTGAGAAAAGACACCACAGTATTAAAAACAAACAAACAGGGGCGCCTGGGTAGCTCCATCGGCTAAGTGTCCCCTAGACTCTTGATTTCAGCTCAGGTCACGATCTCAGGGTTCATGAGACTGAACTCTGCTCAGGCTCTGTGCTGGCAGCCCAGAGCCTGCTTAGGATCTTAGGATTCCCTCTCTCTCTCTCTCTCTCTCTCTCTCTCTCTCTCTCTGCCCCTCCCCCACTTGTGCTATAAACAAACAAACAAACAAAAACCAATGGAGCTTTTCCTGTACCAGTAGGGAGTTTATGTAGTAGAAATGAAACAAAGGAAGTACATGATTAATCTTTAATAAAGACAGTTAAAATGATATTTTTCATAAAGTCTGCCAAAGTTATGACAGCTGTAGATGCTGTTAAATGAAGTAATTTAGGTCTCAAAGATGAAGTAAATGCCTGGTTAATATTTTTTCTAAGTGGACCATCTTGATAGAGCTGTAGGTAAACTTTTTAGAGTACCATCAGTCCAAATCAAGTTCATTTGCAAGAATTACCATGGGATGACTACTTGAAACTTGGATATGAATCTTAATACGTTTGAAAGGTGAACATAATGTTTTTAGCAAATAACTGGCCTTTGGGATCTGCAGCCAGACCAGGAAAAAGAATAGAACCATGCAAGCTTGCACTCCTTTCACTCCCTCACTCCCTCATTCATTTGCAAACACTCACTGAACACGTATTCTTTGTAAGGTTTTTTCCTAGGAGCTCCACTTGGTGGGGAGCTGGAAGGTGCGAGGTTCAACTGGACACGGAGCTTGCCTTCCAGATACCTGCGATTTAACTGAGAAAAAAGGGGGCACCTGGGTGGCTCAGTCAGTTAAGTGTCCCAACTCTTGGTTTCAGTTCAGGTCATGATCTCATATTCCGTGAGTTCAAGCCCCACATCAGGCTCCAGGCTGACAGCACAGGGCCTGCTTGGGATTCTCTCTCTCCCCCCTTTTCTCTCTTTCTCTCTCTCTCTCTCTCTCAAAATAAATAAATACACTTAAAAAGCAACTGAGAAAATAAGGCATGCCATGGGAGTTTGGAAAAAGAAGTCACCTCCTGCTGGAAAGGAAACCAAGGAAGTGTTTCTGGAAGAAAGAGCTTTTAACGTAGTCCTGATTTCTTTGGGGCAAAAATAGGAGTAATGTGCAAGAGGTAGAGGAATGTATTTAAATCTTATAATGAAATGTTTTCTCGTGGAGTTTGGATAATTTGTGAGCATCATTGACAGTCTAACTGGATCATTAATGAGTTTTTCCAAAGGCTCAGCACAGTAGTATTTCTCTGAGCCCTATACCATTTTGACAAACCTTACTTAAATCCACGGAAGATTGCCTGATCTTTTTTCTTGAAAATTCTGATAACCACCCTTTCATTTTAAGATGTCAGGCCAACCCATACACCTAAGTACAAATTGTT